TTAAAAGCAGAGTCCCAACTTAGTAAGCCCAAATCAATAAATTTAGCCTGATCCAACTCCATGTTTCTTCCTCCATTATCCTATACCCTTAAGGTCCATGTCTGTTCTCCAGATTTCTGTTTATATAAATTAGAGAACTCAAATAGTTCTTTTGAGTGTATCCCTCCTCATGGGTCACACTCTCAAACTCACCTCTAGGGTCCTGCCGGGACTTCAGTGTAGTAATAGGTCTAGAAGCAAATAGAAGAGTTGGGGGTGGCTCCTGAGGAGAATCAATATTATCTTGCCTGGTAACTGCCTCAGGGGAGGCCATCACTGTTGCCTCAGGCAGCACAGGTCTGTCTCCTCAGACAAAGGTGGAAAGGCTTCATGGGCTGGACTGAGGAAAGGATGTTGCCACTACTGGGGATGGGGAAGCTGTTTCTTCTGGCAAAAAAAGTTCATCAGAGTTTACAAACTCAGTGTCCCCAGCTTTATCAGGGTCCTCCCACACATCCCCATTTTAAGCTGCAGGGTCCCATTCTTTTTCAATCAACGCACTCACTTTAACAGTAGACAGCTGATGAGGCTGTGCATTCATCTTTCATTGCAGGTCAGCCACTCACATGATAAGACCTTGTGTCTGTTTTTCCACAATTTCAGCTCTTTCTCTACAGGAGATAAGACTCTCACTTAGTGCAATCTTAGCATATTTGAGGCTCAGTATCTCCTTCTGAACCCAGGAGACAGAATCCCTGAGTTCATCATTTTGTCCACTGAACTTAGGAGCCACCAACCAGCTTCATTATGTTCCTTGGTTCTCCGCGTATGGTCATATGGTCAAAGGTATTATGTATAGTCACTAAACACCTTGCCTCTCATATATATATAATGTGTGTGTGTGTGTGTGTGTGTGTGTGTGTGTGTATGGGAGTTTAAGTATTAAATTACACATACACGAGGTCCCATAATAGGCTGTCTACAAGCTGACAGAGAGCCAGTCCAAGTCCCAAAACTGAAGAACTTGGAGTCTGATGTTCAAGGGTAGGAATCATCCAGCACAAGAGAAAGATGTAGGCTGGGAGGCTCAGCCAGTCTCTCCTTTTCACGTTTTTCTGCCTGCTCTATATTTGCTGGCAGCTGATTAGATGGTACCCACTAGATTAAGGGTGGCTCTGCCTTCCCCAGCCCACTGACTCAAATGTTAATCTCTTTTGGCAACACCCTTACAGACACACCCAGGATTAATACTTTGTATCCTTCCATCCAATCAAGTTGACACTCAGTATTAACCATCACATACTATAATAAAAGTTATATAAATGTGGCCTTCCTTTCTCTCTCAGAATATCTTATAAATACTGTATTCACCTATTTTCCAACTGCAGAAAGCAGAACCACAGATACAGGGAGATTACTCACCTCTTAATATGATTCATTTGGGCTGAATTCTGTTTCTGTTGTGTCTCTGAGAATTGCCATATTTTAAAACCTTCTATGTGTATCATCTAAACCTCATGATAACCCTCCAAGGCATCAACATTAACCCATTTTACAAATGGGGAAATATTACGTAGATAAATAAAATACCCAAAGTCACACACCCAATGAGTTGTAGAATGGGAATTCAATTCTTGATCCTTCTAACACTGAGTCATTTTCTTTGTTTCACTTAAATTTATAAGTACATTCTAATTATACTACTAATGCAAATACTAATTTAATCTAAATTTAAGATAAATTTTACATCAGCTGTCTTCTGAACATATTAAGACCAAGCCCTTATTTTGAAATATTTGATAAAATTCACAAAGAAACTGCTAAACTCAAGAACAGTATCCCTTTAATGACTATAATGAAAACAGAAAACTTTTATTTAAAACAATGGCAAAACTTGATAAGCTATACTCTTGTTTGACATTAACATTATTTCTTCTGCAATCTTTGGTTTCTTTGTCAGACACCTTTGATTGCAGCCCAACAACTATTCCCAGTCCCTTACCCCTACCTTTTTATACTTTAAAGGCTAATTTTCCCTGACTTTTCTTGCAGAAAGAGTGGCCAGGTGATTCAGGTCTGCCTAATGAAAAGTGATATGGTCACCATAAGCCAACATGCCCAGCATTGCTAGATTTAGCAAATAAAAATATGGAATGGCCAGCTAAAGTTTCAATTTTATATAAACCATAAATACATTCATAGTATATGTCCCAAATATTTTATAACATATACTGAAGAGAGTATAATAATTGTATAATGCACACAAACATATATTATATATAACCTAAAGAGCTTAAGCTGGTCAACCTAAACACTGAGTCCCACAAACTGTCAAAACCCTGAGTTTTGTTGTTGCTTTATTAAATTGTGAATGGATAAAAGGAATGTAAACTATGTGCATGGCATAAAGAAAAACAATACACCGAATACCGTGTTAACTGCCACCCAGCCTAAGAAAAAGAACAACCTCAGAGGCAATCTCTACCTGGATTTTGTGTTTAATCTTCCTTTGCCATTTTAATAATTTCCTTGCTTTCCTTTGTTCATCTTTATCCCCTCTGAAAAACTAAGAATGGAAATAAGACCTTTGCACTTTAAAATGCACTGAAGATAGCCTGACAATCTTTCTTCCCTTAGCCCCCGAATTACTAGTCTGTGAGAATGATGCAAAATCTAAAACAGGAAGGTGCTCTTTATCTGGATCCTCAGAAAAAACAATGCAAAAGTTGACCTTTGCAGAGGTAGGTAGGTTTCTGGACAAAAAGAGATACAAGTGACAAATGAAGGGGGGGCGCAGAATCCTACATTTAGGGGGTTGAGGTTTTAGTCTTTGTGTGTTTTTAGTGAAGCAACTTCAACTTTCAGTTTCTGAAAGGGCTCCCCTGCCTTTCCTTCAGCTCAGCCCTAGGCAAGCAGACCCCCTGCCCTAGCCTCCCTCCTGAGCTCATGCATATGCTTTCTTGCTAAATGACTCTTAGCACCGTTATCTCCTCATGGGATACATCTGTTGGGTGCCTCGCATCCTCAGCTCCACTTTCATCTCTTCTATCTCAACACATTGTTTCCTCCACTCCTGGTGCCAGAGTGGAAGGAAGCCATCCCGCCCGGCCGCGCTCGGGGATTGGCAGCCAATGAATGATTGGCAGCGGGCATCTCTGTCAGAGCTTTGGCATGTTGCAGAGTAGAAGTCCCGTGCTAATGAATGCCATCTACACCTACCAGATGTGCCACTGGGTGACATGCCAGATCTTTTACATAATGCCATTCTGCCGGACACAAGACAGCTGGGGGTGGGGAGGGTGTCTTAATGCTTTGGGATGAGAGTGGATCTGGCTTTCCTTTATTTTATTTCTTATTCAGACCACCCGCCACCGCCCATACACCCATTCAGCTCCCTTTATTTGGGCTAAAACCTATGGCTCTGGGCATCTCTCTCAGAAACAGTGGTGAAGCAGGAGAGTATCCCCTGTCCGGGACAAATCCCCTGTCCCCTGGCTCTCCTCCGTATTCATCATTTCCTTGAGTTCCCTCCCTGCCCGCATCCAGATTCAGGAAAGGGAAATAGTTTTCAAAGTTAAAGAAATAAAAACACTAATAGGATCTGAAATAAAAGGAAGAAAGGGAGGGAAAGCTACACTTCCCATCCTACCTCCACCCCGCCCCCGTCCCTAATATTCTCTTCTTATGTGCGAGGATGAGCTTCCCACAACCCATCCCTTTGGCAGCCTCTCCTGTTCTTTCCTCTTCCACCGTCCACAGGAAACTGGAGAGCGTTTATCCCCAAGGGTGATATCCTGTTAGTGCCTGTCCCACGTTCTGGCTGGAGTAGGTGTCTTAACGTGGAGGCGTCCGAAACTCCGTGCCGTTTGGGGAGGAATGCTTCCTGGAGAGGGGTGGACATGGTGGGAGGAGAGGGAAATGAGCAAACCACTTCTGATGGACAGCGGGTGTGTGCGCCTGTAGGAGTGTTTGGGCTCCCCTCGCCCAGTCCTCCATCCCAGGAGAATGGCTGGAAGGGGCTGGGGGTTGCCAAGAGGGTTCCCTCTCTTTCGCTAAACCTGCGAGTAACGGCTGCCCTGTAATCTGCGGGACTTGAAGAGGGCAGGCCTCCGCTCCTCTTCCCCAGGGGCCGTGCCCCTCACACACACACCAACACCACCCCTCCCGCGACACACACGCAAGTACTTGGGGCGACTGGGCGCCGCTCCCACGCCAGAGCCCTGCCCCGCGCCAGCCTGGGGCCGAGCCGTCAGGCCCCTTCTCCTGCACCCCCACCCCCGCCCGCTGCCGAGGCTCCAGATGGCGGCTCCTTGCGCTCGGCTTGCAGCCCCCAGACGCCGCCCGGCAGCAGCCGGCAGTCGCTCCCTCCCTCCCAGCTGCTGCGGCAAGACCGGGGCCATTTCGTGAGGCGGGCGGACTCCTCGGCAGGCTCGGATTGGGGTGGGAGCGCAGCCGCCAAGAGGCCCGCAGGAGCTGAGCTCGCGGGGAAGGAGCTCCGCAGTCCCCAGGTAAGGAAGCCGCGGGCAGGCACGGGGAGGGAAGGGAGGAGCGATCACCTGACCAAACCCTCTCTCTCTCCTGACCTTCCTCCCCTCTGCCCCTTCTTCCCCGGCGCCGGGGGCGGGACAGTTTCTGGACCCGAGCACCGGCGAGAAGCAGGGAGCGGCCGCACAGCAGCCAGGAGGGGGCGCCAGCACCCCAGGGCCGGAGCTGCAGGGCTGGCTCGCCAGGCGTCCCGCCCCGCCCCAGGGAACGCTCCCACGGCCGCAAAGGTGCCCCCTTCCGCTGGAAAGCGGTATTGCCCACCGCGACCCCCTTCAATTCTCGCTGTACTCCTCTCTCGCTTCCTTTTTGCATCTCTCTCTCCTCCTCCTCCCCCCTCCCCCTCCTCCTCCTCCTCCTCCTCTTCCTCCCTCTCTCCCTCCCTCTCTCAGTCTTTCTCCCTCTTCCCTCTCTCTATCTTCCTCTCAGCCCCTTTTCTTTTCCTTCTCCCTCCCTCCCCGCTGGCCCGCCAGTACTTTTCCTTCTCCTTTCCGATCACTGTCTGGGGGAGGGTTTGTCGCCCGCCGGGAGGTAGTGTGAAGGGGATGGACGGGTTTCCCGCTCAGGCTCTGGTTCGGGCTCCTCTCCGTAGGTGCCTCCCTGGGTGCTCGCGAAAGCAGCCCTGAGAATGGCAGCTCTCAGAGATTGAAGTCATTATTTTCCGGGGACGGGGCACGGCAACTGTTTGATTTGGGGGTGAGTTATGCATTTAGCGCAGCGATTCCCTGGAATTCAGAGCTGGGGATTTCCCTTGCTAGACGGTTGCCTGAAGTAGTGAGCCCCTTTCTCCCACCAAAAAGGACAGTCGAGTCCCCCCCCCCCCCTCTCTCTCTCTCTCAAACGCAATGACAGCCTCCCTGTACAGTCTTCACCGTTTTCCTCCCAGGCAGTTGCGCCGGGGGTGGGGAAGCGGAGGGAAGGGACGCTGAAAGGCCGAGATGGCTAGCATCTCCTCGCCCATCTGATGCCCTTTCTAATTCCCCAGTGCTCCGGCGCTTGCCCCAGTGTCCCCAGACCCTCCACTCGCCCCTGCGCAGAGGTCGTCGGGTTTTAGACCCAGAGAGCACCTTCCGTAAGCTCCCGGCCCAAATTCCCTCGGAAACATTAATCACAACGACCGGCGGATGCAAAATGCGTGCTTAGGTCGAGACTGTCTTTTAATCCTGAACATAATTCTAAAAAGCAGCATCAGACAAGAGCTTTATTAATCCCTTGCAGGAGCAAATGCGATCTCTGACCTACTAGACTTGTTTTCCCGCAATTTCACAAACAGCCTCACTAGAGGAATGTGCAAGGACGGAAGGAAAACTGTGAGGAGCCTGTGGCTCATTAGCGAAATAATAGGGTGCACTTAAATAAAAATACGGTCTTGAAGTGGAGTGGACTCGCTGTCCAGGAGTCCGGAAATTCAACAGGGACGGCAGCAAAGTGAGTGATGGGGATTGGAGGAAGGGGTATCTGGGCCTCAGGTGCAGAGTGTGGTTGGGAGCTGGGGTGGGAACCCAGTTCTGTCTCTTCCGAAGCCTTCGGATCCCTGTGACTTAATTTGGGGGCCGTCCTCTTCCGAGGGCTCTAGGACAACCGGAGGGGCTCACCTGCAACACTATGAGTTCAGAGTTTGACCCCTTGGGGCCTGTTTCTTGCACTTGAGATTTCACTATCGTGTAGTTCAATTAATCATATCTCCCTTCTCCCATTTTATTCAAAAGCGTCTTCCAGTTCCCTCATAATCGTAATTTGCGTCATTGCCTTTTATCGTTGATTAATTAGGAAGCCGAAAATGATAATGGAGGGTCGGGCCAATAAAATTAGCTTTAGGAACAGACGGACGGACGTCCGAGGCCGCCGCCTGGGTGGGCACTGTCCACCGAAGCAGGCGAGGGCCACCGTCGCTGCCGCTGGCTGCGCAGGAAGGGGTTAAGGAAAAGGCGCGCGGTACTGGCTGAGTGGAGAGATCCACTCTGAAACAAACCCGGTGGGTACAAGGAAAAACTTCTCACTGCTCTAAGTGGAGATACTCCTATGACGCTTAGCTTTTCCTGTTTCGTATAGAAAAGGAGAAAGGGCCGGGCGCGGTGGCTCACGCCTGTAATCCCAGCACTTTGGGAGGCCGAGGCGGGTGGATCACGAGGTCAAGAGATCGAGACCATCCTGGTCAACATGGTGAAACCCCGTATCTGCTAAAAATACGAAAAATTAGCTGGGCATGGTGGTGCACGCCTGTAATTCCAGCTACTCGGGAGGCTGAGGCAGGAGAATTGCCTGAATCCAGGAGGCGGAGGTTGCGGTGAGCCTAGATCGCGCCATTGCACTCCAGCCTGGGTAACAAGAGCGAAACTCCGTCTAAAAAAAGAAAAGGAGAAAGGAAGAATGGGGCAGGATAAGGGTCAGTCTCCTGTGTCTTTGAGGGGCCTCCCTACTAGCTGGCAAACAGGTTTAAAGTCTGGGCCTTACTAGGAGTCTATTTTTTTTTTTTTTTCCAGAGCTGAAATGTTAGATTAACTTTTGCATCATTTCCTTCCTCTTTCCACTTACCTACTGGCCTGAAAGAATGAAGAAAGAAGGGAAGACACGAGGGAGGGAGGAAGAAAGAGGGGAGAGAGTGAGAGTGAGAGAGAGAAGAGAGATTGATTGTCAAGATCAGATCAGTTAATTCCCTGGCCAAAGAGGAAAGTTGCTTAAGCGGAGTTGCTCCCTGCCCTTGAAGAAGCAGCAGCTCTAGGTAGATGGGTAGGGTCTCCTCTTTTCTCCCTTTCTGAAATATATCACTCCTCCAGAGGGCTGAAGGAGAGCACTTTGCCAATCTTCACAGCTTCGCCCTGGCCTCTTTAGCTTTCAATTGAAAACCAATTAAAGGTTTCTATAAATCTGTTAGGGCCCCTTTTATCTGGGGACCCCTGATGCATGCGATATTGCCCTTTAGATGCCTCTTCCGTGTTTTGTTTTACAATTGTTGCATCAATATAATGCAGCCTTTCTTCTCCTGTCTCTATAGATACAGATACACAAGGAAAACCAAAGCTATTCAGGCTCCTCATTTGTCCAGCAGCCTAACAGTGGTGCCCTTTCTCTGCTGCTGCTTTCCCTGCTTCGGAAGCAGCAGTTATGGTAGAAGCAGATGGCTACTGATTGGGGGAGCTTTGTAGCTCTAATACTGAATACTTTATGGAAAAGGACTTTATCATGCTTCGTTCGGCAGAGGAACAAGGCATGAGATTTATGGCCAGGAAAAATCAATCTTTTTTCAAGTTGTGGCTCCTTCTCAGCAGTGTCTCCTTTGCGCCCAGGGGGTCGAACACTGAGGAACTGGTTTTATCTTATTCTTCTTTTTGCTGACAGCCCCTTTTAGTCAGGACAGTGGACTAAGAACCAGAAGTTTACGAAATTCTCCAGGTTGTTGCTGTATCAGCATTCTCTGCCCTCAGTGGGAAAAAAAGCAGAGGAATATATCTTCTCGAATGCTGTTTCAGGTCATGTTTTCTTGGATGTTCTCTTAGTTATTGGGTAAAATATCATTGTTCATTATTTTATTATCGATGAAGAAGAGAAAAGAATGTTAAGAGCAGACATTTGAAGTCAGTGAAGGATATTGAGGGAGAGGGGAAATGATGGGGCATTTGGTGATGCAGGTGTGCTTCTCTACTTTGAAAGGGTCTGAGCTGTGAAGATAATTAGGGGATGCCTGTGAATTTAGGGTTTGGGGCTCCAAATTGAATTTTCAAGGTTTAGGGGATATACAGGGTCCAGTCATATACTGGAGGCCTAATTCACTGCAATATAGTCCATATCATTTATCTTTTCTTCCCTTCCCCTGAGTTTTACTTCTCTAACTTTTGAGCAGGTTTGCTCTGGGTCTCCTGCTGGGTTGTGCCCCTTCTCTATATGCCGGGGTATGCATCCTTCTGTTCCTCCTGTCCTCAGAGTCCGTTTTTGTAGAGTAGTGTCACCCCCCCTTCCTGAGATCTATAACATAAAGTCACACAGAAATGCTTCTAACATATAGAGCCCTAAATGCCTACTGGCAGCCTGGCACAAAGAGAAGGTAATCAATCCCAACTCTGGGTCTCCGTTCCCATTTCAGACACTCTTTATCTCCCTGATTTTACAAATGTCATTTTATGTTCAAGAAACATTTGTTGAGTGCCTTCCATGTTCCAAGTCTCTTTTCTCTGCCTTTCCAATTCTTTTACCTTGTACCCGAACACTGAAAAAGGCCAGGAGGACAGCATTCAGCTTCCAAAAGGGTCACCTAACTTTCTACCTCAAGGTACTTTCTTCCAACTCTCCAGGCACTACCACCCCACAGTCTGGCATGCATCTTTGCATCTTGTTTCTCACCAAAGTGGAAAAGAAGTGGGAGGAGAGAGATATTTTAAAAATTCTTTTTACCCAGCATTCCAAAGCAGAAGACAGTGAGATGCTGTAAACTTGGGGCATTTCTTCTGTGCTAGGCTGAATGCTCTGCCAGCCTCATCACACTTAATTCTTATGCTGACCCTTTAAGTATTATGTTACTGATGTTAAGTATTATAATACCAGGATTTCACAGATCCCCCTGCTTTACAGGAAACAAAAGCATAGAGATGCTAACTAACTCAAGCAGGTGGCCTAGCTGGGATCTGAACCCAGGCTTGACCGGCAATAGTCTTAGCCACTCTATAAATAAATGTTGTCTTTACTAGTTTACAAATGAAGATTCTAAAATTCAGAGCCATCAAGTGATTTGCTCAAACACACAGGTAAGAGATTACAGACCTGGGGTTCAGACCTGAGTGTTCAAAACCCCAAATATCAAACTCTTAACCAATGCCTCTTGGAACCTTCGGAAGGTAGAGCAACTGGAAACCCGCAATTGGCCGCTGTTACCTCATCCCCAGTCCTAGACTGGGCGGGAAGTTTCTTGTAACTTGAGACGGTGGGCTGGGACAAACGTAAAGCACCAGCTCAGGGCTGCGCGTGCGCAAAAGCGGCGTGGGTTAGGAGAAGGAGGCCCCGCTGGGCATCCCGAGACAGGCAGCTCCGTCTGTCGTGTGGCCCACAGTGCTCCGCTCGAAGCCCGCGTGAGGACGCTGGGACAAGGAGTGAGGGCAGCCACGGGGAGAACCTGCCCTGCGCGAAACTCCAGTGCCAATGGTGTAGCTGCGGCCTCTGGGCACCAGTTACCTCGTCCTGCCGAGCTCCGGGACTTGAGTGTGTAGGGGAGGGCTGGGGCCATCCACCTTGTCTGCATCTGAGCCTCAGCGCTTCACAGGAGAGGGGAGGTCGCGCGCGCTCTCAGAGGCCCAGAGCCCTGGTCAGCGCGGGAGGCCCGATCTCCCAGGTTTCTCTGCTCACCCCCAGACCTCGGCTTTTGGCCGCGGCGCTAGAGTTTACCATCAACGTGTTCACAAGCTTCTTATCCCACGGCGTCTTCCGGATCAGCCTTTGACAGCCTGTCTTACCTGCGATTCTAACGTGGCACAGCGATCCTGACCCTTGGCGCTACCAGGCTTAAAGAAGTAACTCTCAAGATGGGCATGGGAGGATAGAGGTCAAATCTCAATCTACCAGGCAGGCCTTCCTCAGCAAACTAATTGCTCTTCCATTAAACCAGGGTTGGGGGCGGGAGTGCGCGGTGCGGGCTGGGAAGGAGGAAAGGGATGACTGCCTTTCCTTCCGTTTCTCCCTAGAAACTTCGGGAAATCCTCAGCCCTCGCTGGGTCACTTGGAAAGTGGTACACAATACAGTTCCCAGTTTTTTAATGAGGAAGGAAAGGCAGTGAGTCACAATAGGCAGCCCTGAAATGGGCATTTACTATGTACCAAGCATTGTTCTATGCTTGCTGAGTATCCACTCAGCCCTAGTTTATGAAAAGTGTCCCTTTACTCCCCTCAGTTCACAGATGAAGGACTGTAGTACAGACAGGTTAAATTACCTCTAGGGGGCTAGGATTTGAACCCATGCAGTCCTGGTTCCCCTATGGAGTTGTGGGCTTGCCCGACACTCAATTGTTGGTCCTTCTTCTTGGGTCAGTTTTCCAGACTTCTAAGGAGAATGTTCATTAATGAAGGCATTGAGACCACCTCGTGTCCGAGACTGAAATGAAACTAGCCCTGGCTCTTGGAAGTGATCCCTTACCATCTGCTCAGCAACTGGCTTTCCAAAGCGCGCTCGCCCTCGTTCCCTTAGAGTCCTCACTGCGATCCGGGAGGCAGCTCTTGCCAGCTTTAGTTCAACCAGAGGAAAACCGAGGCTGAGCAAGGTCCCTGGCAGCCCAGCTAGTAAGAAGAAATGGGAACCAGGCTCTTGCCCCTCGAGACAAGATCAGGCGACGAGCTGGTCGAGGTGAACAGAGGCAGATAGAGAGGGAGGTGGAAAGAGGGCTAGGTTCCCGCAGGCCCCGCCCTTTGGACGCCTTTCCACAGATAAAGTGTTCACCTAAAGGGAAGCAAATGATGGCACTAATTCCCGATGGGAGGCTAAATAACGTGGAAAATGTGGCGGGCCCTTGGGAACTGCACTTTGTCCCTGCTTCGCCCAGGGCGCATCTGGAGCGTACCAAGCGCGCCGCTTGGCCTCACACTGCCCCAAGTTCACGGTTTGTGCACTGTGCGTCTATAAGGGCGCCACCGGGCAGATGATGGCTTGTTTTGTTCTGCCCCGGTCGCCTCCCGTGTCAGGACTCTGCACTCTTTGGTGAATCAACTCAAACGGTGTGATCCGGATCTGTGTTTCATGATATTGTGGGGGCGTTGCCCTCCTGGAATCTCTCCCAGGGAAACCTGGTTTGCCCACACTGAAGTCTGTCATTTGGCCTTCTCTGGACTCTTACTTTTGTCTCTGCACCTTTTACTGAGACACGGGCACCGCACAATGTAGACATCAGGGATTGTCTTTGTCTAGCAGGCACTTCTGTGCCTTATCTTGCTGGCCAAACTTAGGACTCAAACTAAGCTGTGTAGGGCCTTGAGGATGAGTAGCTAATTCAGTCCCCCAGGCAAGAAAAGAAACTCTCTGTATTCAGTGCATTGGCATTGGGTTTCTAGAGGATATTTTCACAGGTTCAGGGGAACCCCACTTACCTGGAATATACATCTTAGGGCTTCGGTAAACTGATTCTAGAATGTAGATAATGCTGTGGAACAGCTGATCACACACACAAGGTATTAGTAATATTATACTCAGGAAATATATTCTTTATAACTCTATTCAGTTTGCTCCCTTGGGACAAATTGCTGTCCTGTATGACTTCACACAAACTATTTTCTCAAAATCATCTTACATGAAAGCATTCAACAAAGAGCACTGGATGCTTAATGGACAAGCATTCAAGGAAAATGACAGTTCTAAAACTCATTTTTAATTGCTACCTTTGACAACATTCACCCCAACCTGAAACACACACCCACAGCCATACACACATAGAGGACAATTTCTGCTCAGGTATAAAGTTGTTCAGGCCTATGTTAAATTCTAGGCCTAGCAAATCTCAACATCCAGGTCATTATATTCAATATGTTTGTTCTTAAGAATTTATGAGTGTTTTATTTAGCAATTCTGGATATTATTTCTTTTAAAATTTCGAGTTTTCCTTTAAACTTCCTTAAAAGGAGATTATGAATGATGTCATGGTTACTATAATGCATTACAGATACTATCAACTCAGCCTGGGAAGCAGCTTTTCACTCAGCAAGTTCAAGAGAACAACTATGTTACAAGCCTTGCCTATTCCTTCCTCCACTTCATAATGTAAGTCCACAGGTGTTTGTAGTAGTCATGACGTTGCTATCATTTGTGACATGTTGATCTTTGAATTTCTTTTTAGGAGACTACATTTTCAAGTATTAGCAGTGAGGAAAGACTTATATTGGTAGCTTTTGAGTGTTTTTGAAAGTCTCCTGAAAACTAACAACTTTTCATATAATGTTTAGAGAGACATCCCCCATTGATACTAAATTAATACCGCCGGATTAAATCATAGAATGCCTGGAATTCATTTGAATTTAAATCATGAAGAATAGTTTTTACTCAAAGCATTCCATTGGCAATATGAGTTAAGGAAGCAGTTTGGGAGCATAATTTGTAAAGAAATTGAACCATATTTCCAAGACTCTTCAATACAATGTGAATCATCACTGTGTAGTTCCTAACTGGTATCCACTTCTCAAATCCTCTTTGTCTCTTTCCTCCTTCCTTTGTTTTCACTTTCTTTATCTCACTTCTCTTTTCCTTGAGAAAATGAAACATCTCTCTCTTCGGGCCTCCAGAATGTGTCCCATAGGTGTATTTCAAGTACTGGACATTTGTGTCCCCTGCTTAGCCCCTTTCCCAGAAAAGCCAAGCCTTGTGCTGCTTTTTCCCCAGCAGCCCAAATTCTCACAGTCCACACCTCAGAAAGCTAACTGGGATTGGATGCCAAGGGGTGTAGTCTGCTCAGGATATATATGCTGTGTGTCTATTGTTGCTTCTTTATTTAACTCAGGGATTACCTACTACCTAAGAGAGAGGAAAAGGTGTGGCACACAGGTACTGAATCTTGGGATAACGTCCATTCGCCTGGCTGTGTGAAGAAATCTGATATAGAGCCTCTCAGTGTTGTCACATTCCCAAGGCCTAGAGTTAGACTTCTCAAAGTCTCATTTGAGACTGCTGGACACAAATTTGGGACTGCTAGACATACCCTGATCCCCAGTCTGTCTAAAAAGCCTGACCCAGAGGGTAAGGAGGTTCAGAGTGGCTGATGGAGATTCAGCTACAATCAGCCAACACCCCTCACACTGAGATGCATTCAAAGGCTTTTTATAACTCTATTCAATTTGCTCCCTTGGGACAAATTGCTGTCCTGTATGACTTCACACAAACTATTTTCTCAAAACCATCTTACATGAAACATTCAACAAAGAGCACTGGATGCTTAATGAACACGCATTCAAGGAAAATGACAGTCCTAAAACCCATTTTTAATTGCTACCTTTGACAACATTCACCCCAACCTGAAACACACACCCACAGCCATACACACATAGAGGACAATTTCTGCTCAGGTATAAAGTTGTTCTGTGATGTCCGAGTCTAGGAGGGACTTTGGAACCTATAGATTTGACAAAAATCCAGGACTTTTCTTGCCAGATATTTACACACTGATCTGGTGAGGAGTACAAAAGTTGGGAGAATCCAGGGGGTCAAAATATTGGATACTGGATTTGGTTCAGAGGTCACACTCACATAGATGAGTATGAGGCACTGATTTCATACCTGTTGGTAGTTGCCTCCAACATCACTTTGGTTTGCTAACCCCTCTAAAAGTCAGTCAGAGGCTATGAAGCCAGTTGACTACAACCCAGATCCAGGAGAGGAAGATAACATATAGCTTTCAAAGACTATTCCATTCTCAGCTGAACTGCAACAGAAGTGTAAATAAAACTTGGGAATGCTCAGAGACAACATTTTAAACTTGAGAAAGGCAGGTTACCATCGTAATGATAATAGTGGTAGTAGTAGCTGCAGGAGCAGCAGCATTAAAAGCAGGACCATTTATGAGGAAAAGCCCAAGAGAGATAAATGTGAGTCAGGAATAATGACCCCTACAGTTGGGAGCCTGAAGTCCTTCCTCACAGGTTACAAAATTACCCAACTCTGAGTCTCTGGCTTTCCCAGGGCCAGCCTGGAAAACATTTGCTCATGTAATACCCAGTGAACCAACTACAATACTTAGGGTGAGGAAAAGACCCAAATGAAGCTTGCAATGTATACTTATAAAAAACAAGCACCCCTCCCCACACCCAACTCCCTCAGGTCATTCTTTTTATCCAAATCAGCAAGCAGGCCTCTTCTTGACTCACCAAGATGTAAAACAAACAAACAAGCAAACCCCTCTGTGTTTCTTTCTAAAAAACCACCACGTATCATTCTCTTGATAAAGGCAAAATGGTAGAAAATGAGTTAACAACCTCTGAACAACATTTTTGGCACAGGCCTGGTGTTTTTCCTAATTGACCAGCCCATAATTTCTGTCTCTCCTTCATGTACAAGTAGTCAATCAAGTTTATCCCTTAAAAAGTTCCTTATTCTGAATGGTGAGGCTAGGTAATGCAGTACTCCTTGAAGATCTATTCTCTGCCTTTCTCAACCCTCACAGCCCCTTCCAGAGACCTCTCTGTGGGAAATTAATAAGCTTAGGAAGGAGCTGCCACTGTCTGCTCCATTGCCATCCTCTTATCTTCCAGTGTATGGGCTCTTTTTTTCCCTTTCACCATGAATTGCCATGCTCTTGACAATGAAGTCTTTGCTGGTGTAGTGTTTTGGCAGTAGGGTTAGAGGTGGGTAAGCCAGGACCTAGAAAGTTATAGAAAATAAAAATTAGTGTGTTTTCATTTTCACAGGATAATAATCTTTACTTGAATTATTATTGGAGATGTTACCTGCCTCTTATCACAGAAGTTGAAATATTTTGGGCTTCATTTTTTGACCCTGGGAAGAGAAAGGGTGTTCCCATTCTAATACCAAGAATTAAATTTCCCTTTCTCACCCTTTCTCCACCCTCTCACTTAGGTCATAAAAGGCATCACCTTGGGTATCATTTATCAACCTCTCTCCAGGCTTCTCTTCCAAAACAACACTACAGTTTCCTACATGTGTATTTTTGCCAGGACTGCAAAGAGCCTTGCTAAAGTGGAACAAGGTGAACATACCCACTCTTCATTGTCATCCTTCTAATCACTTAATTGGAAATAAAATCCTAGGAAATAGAGCTCCAAATATATGCATAAACCCATTGTTCCATGTGAATTACATAAAGCTATTGACTAGGTACATTTTTATAGTACTGTCTGAGGCTGAATAAATGCCTCAACCCTTCATTTCATATCAGCGAATTCCAGAAAGTATTAATGCAGAGTGATTTCCAAGTAGTTTATGTACCATTTTAGCCCATAAATTTCTACAGAAATAAAAGTAATTTGCAGATTTTCTTTATCCCCTATTAATGATTGTCATTTAGGACATTTATATTACCAAGTAAAATTTGTACCACTTAAATTACTGGAAAACTCACCAAGTAAGAATTTCAACTTAATCTTACCTATATTGTTTTGTTATGTCAACCATCTAACTCATAATAAAAAGAGTAGGTCAGATTCATAGAATGTGAGAAATTCTTATATTTAAGGATCTTTACCTGAAAGCAGTAGGGAAAAAAATTAATTAGAGGGCAAGAAAGTGAAACTGAAAGGAAGCATCTGTTGGCCAGATTCTCAATAAATCGCTCCCCTCTCAAATGCATAAAATTGTCACTGTTTTCTAGCTTGAGATTTAAAAGGTCAAGCTCTTCTACCCTCAACTTAAGTACCAAAAACATTCTTTTATACAAGCTGGAGTCAAGATTTTAGTACCTCAAAATAAACATAGTTTAAATGGTCTCTGTATTCAATAAGAGAAAGGCCAGGCACAAGAAAAATGCTTTCCATTTAGATTTTATTTTCTAAATGTCCATATTCTGGAGTAGAGGCTTATATATTTATAATATGTAAAATAAATTTTTAATGCTTTGCATGGACAGATGACTTTTCCTGAAAGATAAACTTCCAATTCTCTAAATAACACCAAAAGAAAGCACTAAGGAGTGTTCTGTTCAACAGATTAATGAAATTATGTTCTTAAACACTGCTCCCCACACACCATATTGCATATATCAGTCTGTAGTTTCTAAGGGACCATGTGACTCTCTTATGGCTACTTTTCTATCTTGACTTGCAGCAGTTTATAACCGTGCCTCTTCTGTCCTTTATTTTTTTTCTTTCTTCTACGCTGAATTCACTTAAGTTTCTGGCCACTATCTTCAATGCTGAGGTTTATTTTCCAGATGTTTGAGACATGATTTTGACATTTCTAAATCTTCCACCCATTCTTTAAAGAAGTATTAGGGAACAATGTGTCCATGCTTTGTGTGTGTGTGTGTGTGTGTGTGTGTGGAGAGACAGGGAGACAGAGGAATGAATCTAGTATTCAATGGAGCAATCAGTCATAAGACAATTGGAAGCTCAGCACAGCAGCAGATTCCTATATATAGACATGTGAGAGAGCCCTCATTGCACTGAGCCTTGGTCATTAGGAGTCATCCTCAGGCAAAGTACATAAAACTGCACATACTTGCATAAGAAAGATGATATCTTAAGATTAAAGAAAACTGCACTTCAAGAAGCTTTCTTTGAAAAGTCAGTAGCTAACCTGAAAACTAAGGGATTCTCCACTTTCCCTCAATGTATGGGGATATTGCAGCCCTTCTGTGAATTTCAGCTTTTTCCTAGGCAGCGATTCGGAATTTGCATTGGGTACTGACCAGAAAAGAAAATGAAACGCACACACACACAGAGAGAGAGACCCCAAGGAAGAAAACGAACTTCCTGGGAAAGCCCTTGTACTCACTCGTTTCTCCTCAGCAAAATCCTCCCCTGGCCTCCTGGGACTGCAGTCACTAGGCTATCAATGCTCAGTGCCCCACTGTGTTCCAGAGAAGGGTCTCAAAGCTGGGAGAGGATCAAACTAACATGGTAAGCTGCTCTTTGACAACTCCCCAAATACATTATTTCAAAACTAGGAAAAACAACAGCAGCAGCAGCAACGAGGCTGTCTCCTTAAGTTGTGGTTCTGCCTCCTCCACTTTAGCCAGCTACACAATCCGATTTATCCTATTGCTGACAGATTGCCCACTTCAAAGTAGTGGTATGTGGGTGGGGCTGAAGGAGTTGAGGACTGTCTATACCACTGAAAGGCCTTTCTTCCCTTAGGAGTAGAGAATTGAACTGTGAAAAAGAAGCCCGAGATCACCCAGCGAAATGGTGTTGCAGCCCCTGTGGAAGAGTCAACTTGCAGGCTGTTAAAGACCTCAAGTCATTAGCATCAGCTGCTGCACTAAAGGGGCAAGTCAGCGCCTCTAAGTGGCTTAGCACACAAACGAGGCTCCCGAGACAGCCTCTGCAACTCCATCTCCTCCTCCTCCTCTACCCGCTAGATGTGAAAGCTTTCCGGAGCCCATCTTGGTAATTATTTTTACTTTCAATCACCCTTGCCCCTCAACCCCAAGGTCTCAGAGTGCCAACAGCACCCATTATGGGACCCCCTCCGGGACTGCGCAGAATGCACCAAGCCAAGGGCAAAAAACCCAGCAACGTTTGAGCCCAGTAACCTGCGCTCTTCCCACCAACCTCTCCACCCTACCTCCGCCCACGTACCCCTGTCCTGGGACTAGGAGGTACCTTTATGTCCCCTTCCGGGGTCTGGTGGCATTCTCACTCCAACCTCATCTCCTGAGTTATGGGAAGGCTGAGACAAGTTCTCACCAAAGCGCATCCTTTCTGAATTTTGCAGGAGGAGGCTTGGTAGTATTGGCGCTCTTGAAGAGCCGGCTCCCGTTTATCACCCCCAGGCAACTAGCTAGAGAATCCCTGGGGCTAACCTCACCCCTTTCCCTTTCATGGAACTCGGACTCCCGGGAAAATACGCACGGGGTCCGCGCGCGCTGGATGTATAGCTCTCTGTCATAGCTTCTCCAAGTGCCTAGTGAAACAGGGAAAGGCCCTCACCAATCCTTTTGGTACCTTCCTTTCCAATTCTGAAACGATTTTCCCCTCCTAGCAGTCCCAGAGGGCCCAAGCTTTAGGAGGAGGCGTGCCGGGACGCTCTCTAACAGGCGTTGCCACCCGGGGTAGGCGCTCAGGATCTGCGGGGCGCGGGCAGGCCAGGGGAAAAAGCTGCGAGGCAGGCGGCGCCGGAGGGAGCGCCTGGCCCAGCAAAGAGTTAAGGGGAGGGGACGTGGGCTGTCACGCGTCATTGGGCAGATTATGTGCAGCAAACAAAAAGTGTGTGTCTGCGTGCCAGTCAGTCACTGCATCGGGTCCATCTGTACAACTCTCTCCGCTTCTCTCTCTCTCTCTCTCTCTCTCTCTCTCTCTCTCCCGCTCTCTCTCTCTCTCTCTCTCTCTCTCTCTCTCTCTCTCTCTCTCTCTCCCCTCTCTCTCATCTCCCTCCCCCTCCCTTCCCTCCAGCCCCCAATCTATTTCTCCCCATCTCTCCCTCTCTCTCTCTTCTCTTTAGGACGGCAACACCAATACCTCTTGACATGGAAATACACTGATACAATAGGCAAAAAGAAACACTGGATTGCGCATCTTCCCGGTTCCAGGTGGCCTTATTTGGGAGATTCTATACTGACCTTATTCCTGGTAAGTCTATTTGCATTGATGTGGGAGGGGGATGGGAGGAAGGCAGTTTGGTGGAAAGAGTAGAAAATTTTGTCTCCTGTCTCCTTATTATCCAGAAGAGAAAGAAAAATAATTGTTGAGGGGCTGTCTACTGCCAACAATATTGTACAAAAGGAGGAGCGGGTAGGGAGCACTTTGCCGGAGAAGCCAGGGACTGGGGAGCGCGCGGCCGCTAGACAATGCCTGCCTAGAGGGAAGGGCTAGCGGCTGGCAGCGGCGACCGGCTTTCAGCGAGTCCCGCCGGCTCTGGGGCGGATTCTCAGGGCTGGCGGTTAAGAACCTGGGCCTAGAGCGGGGCACAGAGCTGTGAAAGGTTGGGTGGCAAAGGCGACCGCACGCAGGCGGGCGCTCCCAGGCTGTTGCCCAGCGGTTATTGTGATGGGCTTGAGGCTCCGGTGGCTGGCGCCGGGACTCCGACAGCTATTAGCGCGGCGTAGTGAGGACCTTTTCACCGTATTGTTAGGTAGAACTGCATTTTAATGACTGTGTCCCTGCTGTTGCCCGAAGTGACGGGGCGACCTCCCCGCACAATGAATCGCTTGTGTGAAAGAGATTTTTAAAAGGAAGAGAGAATTTGGGGCATAAAACGCTGAATTGAAAATTGAAAAGAGGAGAATAGGATTCCGTTGAAAAGGGAATGAGAGGGTCCGGTTTTCTTTTTAATGTATTTTAATTTGAAATGAAAAATCAGGATGTCTACCTTGTGTGGGGTAAAAATGTCCAGGGATAGATGATGTAGCATGAGAAAGTTTCTACATTATGGATATTTCCCCTTATTTCTGCTGCCTGGGAGATACAGCCCAACACTTGACATTTGGAGGATGCAGGAGGATGAATGGAAAATGAGACTAACCAAAGTTTTAGGCTATGTTGGCTGGAATGGGAAAAAAAGCACTATCTTGTAATCACACGTGTAAGGTTAATTGGTTAATAGAAATTAAAACAAAAATACAAGTCACTGATATTCTTCCACAATGAACAGCTTTGCAGGAAAACAATTAGATCTGTGCTTTCTTGCTACTTTAATTATGAAAAAATATGTAAATAATTGCCAATCGTGGCATTATTAAGGAACAACAAACTTGGAGGACTCTTTTGATTAGTCTGAAATACTAAGCAATGTACCTAGTTCAAAGCTAGTTTAAAAATTTAAATACCTGTTTTATTTTTTTAATGATAAGTCTTGTATGAGGTATCCAGAGGAAGGAAAATGTCCCTTTATGATAGCTTAATAGAGAACCCTCCATTGGGGCATTACTTTCTAAACTGCTGTGGATTAAACAGCTGGAGAGCTCACTGAGGAGTGCTCAAGCAGGGCTGCCCCCTCTTGCCCAAACAGGGTCGTATGGGGTAGGGGGAGTGACAATTCACCAGTCATTACACACAGTATTTCAGACTGGGGACACTTTAGGCCTGTCCTGTACCTGCTCACTTCATGAGCCACATGTGACTTAATCCACCCCCTTGTATAACAAGGTAACAGGGATTCACTCTCATCCATAAATAAGCATGCCCAGAAAAAAAAATTACCTCTGCTTGCTGCTTTTAATTAAAGCCTCAGAGGAACAGTGTTGGATTATGGTAATGAGTAGACATACGTCCCTTCTTGTAGGCTGCAGAGAAAGGTTAGCTGACACAGAATTAGTGGCCCTGACACTCCACTTGAAATCCATTCGCCATGCTCCACTGTCTCCGCCTGCTCACTAATGCTACTCCCCTCTTTGGAAGAAAAGAAAAAAAATCAGCTCCCGGGCACCCAGTTCAATACATAGGCAGAGAGGCACTTTCCCCCAAGGGTTAGAAGTTTCTTTCAGAAAGGAAGGTCTATAGGCTGGTTTAAAAAAAAAAAAAAAAGTATTATTCTGCCTTGAACTTCACCTCCAAAACCTACCCAATCCAACATCAAGGTAATGCAAAAAATGATCTAGTCTTTCCTAGCCCCTTCTTTTCTTTCTCTCAAGCAGTCAACTCCAGATCTCTCACTATTCTAGTTCTTTTAACAAGTATTCCTTAGTTCTCATCATTAAAATATTCCATGTTAATCTGCTTTAATTTTGAAGTAAGAGCTATGCAAAAAATCAGGCAAGTGTAAGGAAAATCTGCCTAGCACTTGAACAGTGCTGCCTGGGTTAATGGCGGTCAAAGCATTAATGTAATTCACTTTCTTGTGCTGTGTGTCTATCTCCAGTGATGGAGGATACGGGCATCCAGCGAGGCATCTGGGATGGAGATGCCAAGGCTGTCCAACAATGTCTGACAGATATTTTTACCAGCGTTTACACCACCTGTGACATCCCTGAGAATGCTATATTTGGTCCCTGTGTCTTGAGCCATACTTCCTTATATGACAGCATAGCTTTCATAGCTCTCAAGTCTACTGACAAGAGAACGGTACCTTATATCTTTCGGGTAAGTCTCCGCTGGAGCTGTGTAGGTATATGAAGGTAATGTCCTGTTGGAAATGGCCTAAAAATAATTCTAATGACAAGTGGAGATAGGTTTTACCTGTGGAAAATGCAATAATGCAAGCAATCCCATTTAACACATCAAAAATTCGAAAAGGAAAATTAAACTCAAATTATTGTCAATTGATTTTTTGGAATAAATGAATTTGATTTGGAATGTTAGAAATATCTAAATCAATGCTTCAGTTCTGGGTTTTCCTGCTGATGAACACGACTTCCTGACCTATGGGAGATTTCACTGGGTTGGAGGCTATTTGCATACCAACTATTTGCTCTAAGTTCTTTGACAAGTATTGGGTACATTTGCCTTCCATTTGAGAAGGCTTCTTCATCCCCTAAATATTAGTTTCTTTAGTAATATTAGCTAGTGCCTAGAGTTTGTATTTAGATAAAAATGTTAATGATTTTGACAGTAAAGCATCATTAAATCCATATGCCTGAATTGGAAGATAAAAGGGCTCTCATTTCCTATTCTTCTTCACAAAGAAAAGCTATTAATTGTTTACGCCAAGATTAGGAACATGATTGCCATAGCATAATTTCTAAGATCTAAGCCTGCTTTATTTCTGAAACAAGCAAAATACTCCATACCTTTGTAATGTGGGATAACATAGAATTAAACTCTCAAGAGGTTAACACTAAATTCTAAGAAGAGATTCCCTCATTTAGTGTTCAATCAGTATAGTAAAACAGCAACAAATAATCTGTATGATGATGTAGTGTTTCAAAGAATGGTTATCTTCCCTACTGGTTACGAACATGAGGACAGGTCCAACTTTTGGGCCAAATTTTTGGAAGCGTGGTCTCAGATAAATTTTGGAAAAGACTAACATGGAAGAAATGGTCTTGCTTCTTCTGATTTCAATTCTTTCATGGGGGTCCCTCTCCCCCTTCTTCTTGTCTTCTTGCTTCTATTTCAAACCGCAGGTAGACACCTCAGCAGCAAATGGTTCCTCAGAAGGTCTCATGTGGCTGCGATTGGTCCAATCGGCCAGAGATAAGGAAGAGCAGAACCTTGAAGCCTATATAAAAAACGGACAGCTGTTCTACCGCTCTCTCCGCAGGATTGCCAAAGACGAGGAATTATTAGTTTGGTACGGGAAAGAACTGACTGAGTTACTCTTGCTCTGCCCCTCTAGATCCCACAACAAAATGAATGGTAGGTTGGCTCGCGACCGGTGTGTGGGCCCTTCACTAGCGGGGGAGAGACGCGGGGAGCTGCCGGGGCTAACCCAGCGCGCTGGCGCGCCTTTCTTCCCTTTGGGTGTCTCACAGGAAGCTTCTGAGATATAGTGCGGAATGAAGCTAAACAGATAGGTGAGGATAAAGCGGGGACACTTGGCTTGTTTGCTGTATTCCCCCCAAATCAGGGGGAAAGTTAGATCAGGTTGGTCATTCTTTTCTCAGGCACTCAGGCCCTGAGAAATGAAGGTGGATTTGTCCAGGGGATGGTGGCAAACTGGCTTAGGGGTGAAGCTGAGTAATCATGTGGTGTGCGTGTGCGTGTGTGTGTGTGTGTGTGCGTGGTGTTTGCTCACTAAGCAGGGTCGTCCCCTTACACATGCCTGGAATGCAGCCAACGTTTCCAGTTTGAGTTCCCCTATGTGGCGCATCTGCGTTTCCGCTGCCCCAAGAGACTTCACAGCGCTGATATAAGTCCCCAAGACGAACAGGGCGGCGGCGTGGGCACCAAGGACCACGGGGGCGGCGGCGGCGGCGGCGGTGGCAAAGACCAGCAGCAGCAGCAGCAGCAGCAGCAGCAGCAGCAGCAGGAGGCGCCTTTAGGCCCGGGTCCCAAGTTTTGCAAAGCTGGCCCCCTCCACCACTACCCAGTCCCCTCCCCCGAGAGCAGCAACCCACCCGCTGCCGCCGGCGGCAGCAGCGCGAAGCCATCCACGGACTTCCACAACCTGGCCAGGGAGCTGGAAAACTCCCGGGGAGGCAGCAGCTGCTCCCCAGCACAGAGCCTCAGCAGCGGTAGCAGCAGCGGCGGCGGCGGCCACCAGGAGGCGGAGCTGAGTCCCGACGGCATCGCCACCAGCGGCGGCAAAGGAAAGAGGAAATTCCCGGAGGAGACGGCGGAGGGCGGCGCTGGCGCGGGGTTGGTAGGCGGCCGGGGCCGCTTCGCAGAGCGGCCCCTCCCGGCCTCCAAGGAGGATCTGGTGTGCACGCCGCAGCAGTACCGAGCCTCGGGCAGCTACTTCGGCCTGGAAGAGAACAGCCGCCTCTTCGCGCCGCCCAGCCCCGAGACGGGCGAGGCGAAGCGCAGCGCCTTCGTGGAGGTGAAGAAGGCAGCCCGGGCGGCCGGCCTGCAGGAAGAGGGGACCGCCGACGGCGGGGGCGTCGCCGCCGAGGACCAGGACTCTGGCAGCGGCGGCGGCTCCTCCACGCCCGCGGCCCCGTCGCCGGTGGGCGCCGAGAAGCTGCTGGCCCCGCGGCCCGGGGGCCCGCTGCCTAGCCGGCTGGAGGGCGGCAGTCCTGCGAGGGGCAGCGCCTTCACTTCGGTGCCGCAGCTGGGCAGCGCGGGAAGCACCGGCGGTGGCGGCAGCACGGGCGCCGGAGCTGCAGGCGGCGCGGGCGGGGGTCAGGGCGCTCCGTCGGACGAGCGCAAAAGCGCCTTCTCACAGCCAGCGCGCTCCTTCTCGCAGCTCTCCCCGCTGGTGCTGGGCCAAAAGCTGGGCGCGCTCGAGCCGTGTCACCCTGCCGACGGCGTGGGCCCCACCAGACTCTACCCCACCGCCGCGGACCCTCTAGCAGTGAAGCTCCAGGGGGCCGCGGACCTGAATGGAGGTTGCGGGTCCCTGTCGAGCGGTGGCGGCGGCCTGCCCAAGCAGAGCCCCTTCCTGTACGCCACCGCATTCTGGCCCAAGAGCTCCGCCGCCGCTGCAGCCGCGGCTGCGGCGGCGGCCGCCGGGCCCTTGCAGCTGCAGCTGCCCTCGGCGCTCACGCTGCTGCCGCCCTCCTTCACCTCGCTGTGTCTGCCCGCGCAGAACTGGTGCGCCAAGTGCAATGCCTCCTTCCGCATGACCTCCGACCTGGTGTACCACATGAGGTCGCACCACAAAAAGGAATATGCGATGGAGCCCTTGGTGAAGCGGCGGCGAGAGGAGAAACTCAAGTGCCCCATCTGCAACGAGTCCTTCAGGGAGCGCCACCACCTCTCCAGGCACATGACCTCGCATAATTGACTCCGAAAGGACCCCAGCTTTCCACGCGCGCGCACGCACAGTCAAGCCACCTGCAGGAATAAACACGCGAGAACATCCACCGCTTCCTTGCACCCCAAAATAGTGCACACAGACACATACATCACCCCCACACTACACATGTCCTCCGCTCCCAGGAACCTCATTAAGATATTTATCCAGGACACACACACACACACACACACACACACACACACACACACACCAGGATGGTGGATTTTTGATTGGATGGGTTGTTTGTGGGAGTTTTCTTTTGAATGCACGCATTTTCACTTTCCCCAAAACAAAGGTACATTTTTAAAAATGTCATATATTGCAACATATTGATGCATTTGTCATACGTTTCTACTTAAATTATTAAGCACTTACAGTTTAGATGTAATAATTATATGTAAGGGCAAAATTTATTTTCGATATAAAGGAGGAGGGTGAGATGCTTTGCATTTCTTGATCGTTTGTGTTCTTACAAAAATAAACAAAATGAATAAAAAGGGGTCGCCATTAAATTTGAGTTTCCAGGGGGAAGTGCATGTATAATGATATAATTATGGACTTCAATGAAGAATGTCATCAATTATGTAAATATGTATTTCCTTTTAATACAAAGTGTAATTTTGTGCCAGTGAAATGGAGTCTGAATAGTTATGTGTTTCCTTTATCCCTGGAAATATTTATTAAACTTTATAGTTTATCTGAGTATGTTGGATGCTTTGACAATAAATGACTATTTTCTTCAAAGCAAATATTTGGGAAGATTTAAAATTTTATTGTTGTAGCTGAGGACTGTACTTTGAGTAAATGCCATTTATTTTCACTGAGTTCCTGAAAAGAAGGGAAGAAAGAGCATCAGAGAGGAACTATAAACCTGGCTCCATTTGCATTTATTTACTGTAAGCCAATTTTGAGCCTAAAAGGAGAAAAGTTTTTATTATCACTTGGAAAATATTTAGCTGGAAAGTGTTGGGCATCTTGATCAAAGACACATCATTTAGACAAAGATGCCTGTCATGCAGCTAACCCATCACTGGGACACCAGCATTCTTTTCAGCAGCAGGATAATTAGCATCTTCACAAATGGTCTGAGACAATGTTCAGCCTGGGATCTGTGAGACCAGATGAAAAGCCTACTTTAGGTTCTACTCATGATGGCTACATAGAAGTGTATCTTGTACTCTAATGTCATTACAATGGCATTTTGTCATAAACTATTAGGAGACCCTGTGGGGGAGTTTCCCTAAAAACCAAGGTGAAATGATAATGGTTGATCCTGGTCTATGTATTGCAAGGCCCATCTTTCCTTCTAAAGGCATGGACAACTGCATAGCCTCTGTAAAAAACTTGTCCTGAAACATTATAATGCAGAAAAACCTGACAATTTCCCTCCTCTTTCTACTCTTCCCTTTATGAAAAGTACTTCTGCACTCTTTACCTACTTGTAATAATTCTTAGTTAAATATTGAGTGTACAAAGTCTAGGTGCATGTGGTGTGACCAGTAACCATTAGACATAAAACCAAATGAACAATGATCTTTTAGGCCTTAAGATAGCATGCACTTAATCCACAGGCATCTCCATAGTCACTCGAAGCAGGCACTGCACAGGAGTTGTCCCACTTTTTTTTTCTCCTTTCTTCACATTTTGAAGACTCTCCCCTATATATGAAGGTGGATACTTGTGAAAAGGTCTGAAATGTACAGAGGTCTCATTACAGGCTTTGCAATGGTTTTCCCTAATAGGATATTAAAACCTTCATTATTTTAGGACCTCTACAAAGCAAGTTATGATTAGGTCAGGGAGCAGGTTAAGGGTATAGAGCAACCTGATTTATCTATTGGGAATGTGACTTAGATTGGTAAAAAAGCAGGTGGGGTTCTTTAAGATCATCCAATTTTTTTTTTTCTGCTACATTTCTTTAAGGCCTGCTCTCAGTTTTCCTAGGCAACATTTGGATAATCTAAAACCCAGCAAGATATGGTGAAAACAGTCCAAAATTCTAATTCTACCTCTGCTATTCACAACTAGTGTGACCCTGCATCTTTGCTGACATAATTTGATTTACGTGCAGCTTGGTTTTCTCATCTGTAAAATAAGCAAAGCAGGTTCTACTATTTTTAAAGTACTTCTAGCATTGGGAATGTTTTTTCCCTCATGAGTTAATCAGCCTCCAATTGAACACAAAGAGGTCTTTCTAGAGAAAGCCCAAGATTGTGAAGAAAATTTGATGACAAGAAGTGAGGAAGCAAATTGAAGGCAAATTGAATCAACAGATCCTTAAATCACAATGCCTGATAGGCAGACCAAATTGTCAATGTCTCGGACACTTTATCTCTGGAGCAAAAACAAACAAACACACACAGCTTATCCTAGGGCCTACCTTAAAAAAAAAAAAAAATCTTGAATGCCCTTTTCCTTTCTATCTGATCCTTCTGGAATTTCCTTTTCCGTAAGGCAGCTTTACTTTCCACTGAAGATTCATACAGGGATGAACTGAGGTCTAGAAAAAGGTAAATACTGCTTTTTACAATCGGCTTTATTATGGGCTGGAATCATATTTTCTAAAGACTATGTGTAGACACTGCCACGAGTAGACACTCAGTGAACCTCCCCTGTGTTTTCTTTTGTATGGTCATTAACTTAATCATAGGATCAGGAAGAGAGCCGAGCCTTGGCTCAGCTACTGCCCGGGCGATCCAGGTAGGTGTGTTAGTGGCAGCCACTTTCGGTCTGGGTAGCTATGCTGTTCAGTCTGCCCACAAGGCCATTTTGGCGGGAAGTAGTAGACGAAGAGTACCGATAGCTACTTTTGCCTTCAGCCAAGGCAAACTCTGAAATGTTTTATTTTAATACTGCAGTTTCAAGCGTTCAGAGGTATCATAACCCTTTCCTGTGTCTGAAGCTTCTCAGAAGGGAGTCTCTAGGATTTTATAACTCTACCTGTCTGCCAAACTAGTTGAGGTCACTCACAGCTGAGGAGGAAATGAGGTCACGGGTCATGCAGGCATCAAGCCAAGCTGGTCCCAGGACATCCAGGCAGGTGGCCGGGCTTCCAGCGCAGGAATCATAGGTTCTAAGGACGGGAAACTGAAAGCCAAGCGGTTGCTTCACCAGCATTTGTCGCATCCCAATCAGTGGAAGAATGCCCAGGATTGACCCAGCGCTTGGGGCCAGAGAACTCCAGGCATGTCTGCCCAAAGATGAGTCCCTGGCCTCATTTGCCTTTCTACTTTTCCGAGGCCTTTGCGGGTGGGGCCGCCTGTACTCCCCAGGATGGGTTTGCAGGGTACAGGCCTTGGAAACCAGAAGGTCCGGGAAGGCACCCACACATCTCACTTTGCAGGCATTGGTCAGCCAAGATGGAAACCGGACGCTCTCCGGGAAAGTCCCCAAGGTCCCAGAATCCCACCCGTAAGCTCTGCGGCCCTGCAACGTCCAAAGCCCCGCGTGTTGCAGCAGCAGTCTTGTGTGGGCTAGTTGTAAGCACAGGTGAGCAGCGGGGGAGAGGGGCTCCCAGCCCCGTGCCCTCTGAAACTCGCTCCCTGTTCTTTTAAGTTTTCTCCGCAGCCGGTTTTCATAGGGCCCCTGCCCAGGGTACAAGACCCTGAACCGGGAAACCTTGAACACCCAGCACCTGTCACACTCAGAAGAGGGCTGGGAAATGCAGTCCTCCTCCCCGGCTCCCATTCCGAGGGCAGGAACCCCGAGGCAGCCTCTCCCCGCGGTCCTGCGCTGGCTGTCTCTTGCCCGCCGCCAGTCGGCCCGGGCTTTCCTCCGCCCTTCCCGGGGCCGTGCGTGCTCCTGTGCGGGAGAGCGTGCGCTGCTCCAGCGCCGGGACCAGAGCCGAGGAGCAGCCAGACGCTGAGGCCTCCTTAGGCAGGTGTTAGTTTTCTCTTTTCTTCTCCTGTTGCCCAATCCCATGTCCTGGAATCAATTCGCCTCATTCTATGGTAGCTTCCATTTCTTCTTCCCTCAGCTCCTCCTCACATCCACACTTTTCCGTCTCTCAAGCACTTCTGGAGCTTTTCGTAACCAAAGAAAGTTTTTTCCAGAAAGTTCCTTTGGTGACTCTGCGCCATCCACTAGGCAACTGACTGCTAAGATGGCGGTACCAGTCCAGAAGGAGGCTGCACTGCCGCACTCTCCTTTAGCTGGGCACTAGGATGACCCCATCCAGCACCCAGGGATTGAAAGGGATGGACAGGCACCAACGCTCTCTCCCCCTCAAATACACACACACACATTACACACACCGCACGCACCACACCACACACCACATACACACCCACACACACTCTCCACACACCACAGACACTCCACACATCACATACACGCCCCACACATCCACACAAACATACCACATACACCACACACACTCTGCAAACCACACATGTTCCACACCACACACATACCACATACCCACACCACACATACCCCCACACACCACATACATATACCACACACATGCACCACACATATCACACACTGCTCACACACCCACACAAACATACCACAAACACACACACTCTACAGACCACACTCCACACCACACACCACATACATACACCACACATCCACACATTCCAGACACACTCCACACCACACATACACCACATACCTGCACCACACACCGCACCCATACACCACATACACACACCACACACTACACACATACAAACACCACACCACACATATATACACACCACACATATGCACCACACACACCACACCACACACACATACACACTACACAAACCACACACACACCACACATACCACACACACCACACACACTACACACACCACATACACACCACACACCACACCACACATATACACACACCACACCACACATACACATCACACACACCACACATACACATATATCACACACATACACACACACACCACGCATACACACACAACCAGCTGACTCCTGAACCGTTTCTCCCAGCTTGGAAATTTCATTGTCTTTCCGAAGGTGAAAAATGACCCCAAAGTGGTGTAGAAAATTTGGCTTGCCCAAGAGCTAAACTGGGATTCGGGTGAGAAGCTGGACCACTCCCTTTTCCTCCTCCAAATGCATTTTATTTGACAGAAGGCCCAGAACGTTGAGGCAGAAACATATGCCTCAGGCTGGTGCGCCTGAATGATTGCCTTCTGGCTGTGTAACTTGCCTGGGCAGGAGCCACAGAGCTCTTTGTCTCTCTGCTCCATGCAGCATATTCCTAGGGCAACCTCTGCTTTTCACACTTTAGATATGGAACTTAGAACTTTTTAGAAATCTCTATTCTGCAAGACTAGTGAATAAAGAAACTGAAAAAATTTTTAATTTTTTTTTAATCTTTAGGGTTAGAGGTCTGCTACCGATGTTCTACTTGAATAACTAACCTGGATAGATTATTATTTACTTATCTCTTTTCAAGTGGTGTATGAGCACTAGAATATAAATCTATGTAAGTTTGCAAGCATGTGCATATGTGTTCAAATATGTAAGTATATATTACAAACTGATACATATATTTACATATACAAACATGCATATACATTTTAATACACAAACAGGCACATAAATGGCAGGTGTTATTCTAAGTGCTTTTTGTATGTTGACTTGTTTTAATTCTCACAACCTACCCAAAGGCTACTGAGAATCCCATGCCATCATGTTTCAGCATCGTATACTCGGTATTGTTGTCACCCGG